AATCTTCACTATAGCCTTATAGCGAAGTTGAGGTCTAGGACATAGAGTTCGTTATAACAAGAGTTGACTGTATATATTAATTATATAAACAAGATATTAATTTATTTATTCAATTTAGAATTTACATACCGTTCTATAATAGCCTTTTATGTTGTAGAGAAATCAAGAAGCAAAAAAACAAAAGATCAAGAAGAATCTCAAATTATTTATCAGAGTAATTTTGATAAGTCATCATATCAGATGGAACATGCTATTCTTATCAAGATTCTTGAGAAAATCCAACCAAGTTTAGATAAATATGACTTAATGTTAGATATTGGTGTTGATAGAGATTTAAATAATAATAAAACATTATCTAGTATTCGTTTAGTAAACAAAATTTATGGAGATTTAAAGCATATAGGCAAGAACATTCAAAAAAAAATTGGTATAAATATAAAACAATTTCTTAAATGTAAATATTTATTTGAGCATTTATTTATTTTTATTATCTAATAACAAAGAATACTATTTGGAAAGATTATGAAAATATAATAATGAAATATTATATCTGGGTTGTATATGCTGCTACCACACAAAAAGAAGATCCTGATATTGAAACACCAGAAGATCAAAAAGTATTAGATTTACAAATTAATGGATTAGTTGCATATCTTTCTAGTGATCATTCATTATGCTGAGAAGATTTTTATTAGCATAAATCTAATGTTGACTTAGAATTACCTGAACCAAATCTGCTAAGGTATGATAATCTCAAACATACTTCTTTTTGATCTATGTTAATAGAAGTATTCTGTCTCTCAACACAACAAAGCCTTATCACTACCATTTGTATCTCATATAATGAGGCATTTAACCGAATAAAATTATGCTATGCTATACTAACAAATTAATCGATTACTACAAATCATATTAAGCTCGACATGCTTGTGCTATACTACATAATAATTATGGGATTGACCTTTTGATTGAAACTATACGATCTATAGAAGAAGTATCTGACCTTTCAGTTGAGGATTATATTAATCTAAAAAAAATGTTAGATGAAAGACAATAACAGAAAAAAAACAACAAAAAGAAAATTACACAACGTAATGAAGAAAGAGGGAAAAAAATTGAAGAACAGAAAAAAACAAACAGAAATGTTTGATTTTGATCAAGTAATTTCATTATTTATTTTTTTTATATTGATTATATTCTTTTACCAGAACTAAAAATATATTATTGTTAATAGGATTTAGTATCTTACAGGAAAAATGTTAAACTTAATATTGAAACTCAAGAATTTATTCCATCATTTTCTCATCTTATTCATGATTTTACGTCTCTGCTTAAATGTCACGCTTGTCTTTCTTTTCCAAAGTATTCTTCAATTAGTTTATGCAAAGTATGTTAATTTTATCTTCATTCTGGACTTCAAAACCAGTTTCCAAATCAAAAATATACTTCACCATTTGAGATTCCAAATACCGAAATATTTATTGAGAAAAAAATTGATATGGTAATCAACCAAGTATTTGAATTTTCTGGATATCGTGAAAAACAATATGAATCAATCATATCTTTTATCAATGAAAAAAATACTCTGGTAATTTTACCTACTGGTAGTGGTAAAACATTATGTTGAATAGTATCAACATTGATTGGTGAAGGGCTTACTGTTGTTTTTACACCATTAAAGGCGTTGATTGATGATCAGATTAGAGAACTTATTAATATCGGAATTCCATGTGCTGGCTTATATACTTCTACTAATCATCCATCTAATTATCAAGAAAAGTATTTGGCGAGATTGCAGCTGATTTTTTACGTGTTTTATTTATAACTCCTGAAAAATTTCACAAAAATCTGGCTTTTTGTTCAATGCTTATAAGAATTAGCCAAATAAGACCAATTCACTTTGTAGTAGATGAATATTTTCGGTAAGTTTTAGATAATGAATAATAATATAAATGTTAATCAATTTTAGTATCTTAAAATTATTTAATTGTATTTATATTGCCGTTTTTATAGAAATGCATGGAAATATTTGGATACATTAAAGCAATTGTTTCCCTTATCATGCTTACCGCTACATGTTTACCTAATGAAACTTGGAAGATACAATCAATTATGAATATTAAAGTGGGTGATCTTAATATTGTTCGGAGTTCTTCTTTTATACGTTCTGAAATGACTTTTGAAGTTCAAACCAAAAGTTCTATGGAGAGGACTATTAATGAAATTTGTGAACAAATTCAAAGAATTGGAAATGAATATTGTATAATTTATTGTGCTTCACCAGCAAGCTGTGAAGAAGTGTTAAAATTAATTAGAAATAAGCTTGAATCTATTTCTTTAGATATATATCATGGTAAATTAGAAAGCTCCGTGAGGCATCAATCAATTACGCATTGGAAAAGAGGTTTAACTCAAGTCATGATTGCAACAAATACTTTTGGGCTAGGGATCAATATGTTAATATTTCTATATTCAGGAAATCTAATTCAAGAAGCTGGAATGATGCGATAAATATTTTCCAATGCATAATCACTCTTTTACAAAAGAAGTAGGTACACCTCCCGGTGCCATTATTTTCCCGCATTTATATATTTTTAATGTTTTAATAATGTTGTCACATGAAGATGAAAGAAATTCCTAATCATTGTCTATTGTTCTTGGAAGAAAAAAAGACTTTTTCTTTGATTTCTCCATATGGCCTGCTTAAGAAAATGCCGTTTGAATTCGACGATTAGAGATAGAAAATCGAACTAAGTTAAGGCTGACTATATAGTAAGTGTTAATCCTTTAAAAATGGATGAATTTATGTAAAAACATTGTTTAATGAAATGTCATATTACAAAAAAAATTTATCAAAAAAATTTTTGAATTCAAGGAATCAATTAGAAATCAAAACTTATTACGATATTTTCAACCTTTTTTTTTTTTTATTAAAATGTTCATTATAAAATTGAATAGCGGTTCTTGGAATGATGTAATGAAATTTTTTGAATTGACCGAAAAAATTTAACATTAACTATGATTTTAGTTTATTTGCTATCACGAACAATATTGTTTATTGAATGATGCGCTATTTGAAAATTATTTGAAATTTACTTTCCGCATTTTCCATTTAATTTTCTTATGATTAAATAAAACCTAACCCATCGAAACATCACAAGTGTCACTCCGGTGACAAAACATAACGCCTAACCCTAACTCTAACTAATCTCAATTATACCAGCCAATCGCAGCGGGGGGTAAATTAGTAAATCCATCCTTTAGAACACTTTTTTCATTGCAGAAGAAACGCGCATGTCCACGTGTTAATTTTAATAATTATAATGAAACCGTGTTTGTTATTTAAAAAAGATAGATGTTTCTTGTTTCGATTTTGACTTTCGATCAGGATTCTATAGTTTTGACGGAACCGTTGAAAGCTAAGGGTTATAAGAGTTCTGCCTCACAACCTTAGACATGTATTAATAAAAAGATTTTATGCCATGGATTGTTCTACACGATGTATTTCACTTGTATTTTTTCAATTAAGTTTGGCATTCCTCAATGTGATCGATCGTCAAATGCACAGTCGATGAGTTTTTTGAAGATTTAATAAAATCAACTAGTATTTTTAAAATATCATTGAATTATCATATCATTACTTTTTTTTATTTTGTGAAAAGAAATAAAGTACTTAAAGTAAATATCAAATTATATTGTTCAATGTATACGGTTAAAGTTCGTTCAAGTTTATTTTATAAAATAATCTAAAAAATTTCAGATTAATAAATAAAGCAATGTCTATGCCTGTGATCTTTTATTTCTCCTGTCATTGATCCTTATCCTTTCTCTTTCTGTCCTAACTTCATCTATCATTCTTCTTTGAGTGATATTCCATCTTTTAATGCTTTTTCATTTTTAACCCAATTTATCATAGCTTGACCAATACCAATAACAGCTTCATCAGCAGTCACCCTAACACGCTCTTTCAATTCTAAAACAACGGGCTCATATTTTTCATAAGTAACTATAGTATAATCTTTGAATAATTGCAGCTGCCTTAACGCAAATAACTTGAAAGAATTTATAAATGAAGGAAAGTACTTTGCCATTAAGTCATTAATCGCTATGAATAATTCATACATCACACCCTTTACCATCTGTAGTATTGAAGAGATATGAGGTGAAAGAGCATTATAAATCGATTCTAGTTTAGAATATATTATTGATAACCCTTTTGTAACTAAGACGAGCGCTTTGCTAAACGCTATGATTGACATTGATACCGCCCATTTACCCATCCTAAATGTTGCTAAAAGTATGACTAAAATAACTGTGGTATAAAAGAAACTTAAAGCTAATATTACAGGGCGTAATAAAGGAGCAAATATGATCCATAAAGATCCTAAAAATTTCAACACCTTTTCTTTAATATTTCTATAAAATTTGTTACAAACGAGTTTAGCCTCGTTATAAAATTTAGGGATACCAATGATTATTGGTAAGAGAGTAGTATGATAAGTATAATATGTTGATCTCAACGCTTCTATCGTTGAGATGAATGAGTATTCCGCCAATTCCAACCCACAGTGCTTCAAACGATTCATCAATATTGGTGTAAGAATTTGAAGATGTTTCTTGATGAAATTATAAAGGGTAGGGGATTGTATTATAGAATAAATGAATTCCGCAAAACTACGAAGTAATGGATCCCCACATATCATATATATTACATAACTCGTATAACTTGCGGCCGCTAATACAAATCTAGTATATAAAAATTTTTGAAGTATAGGAAAATAATATTCGTATTTTTCATAAATTTTGATAGTTGAATAATGAATAAATTCACTGGTAGGTTTTAATGCGTTGTCATATATGATCACCGAAATTTTCCATCCAAAGCATAATAGATCTCTAAAATCTTTTGCTAAATCTTTAGCAAGGGCACAAGCACAATACCATGTTATCCTTCCCAAGTAAATGGCTTTTGATACGATCCATTTTCCCGGTTCAACGATAAAATTCGTTATAAACCATGACATGAATACCAATAATGGACATATTATTTCATTCCATCCAATTTTCGAATATTTCACGGAAAAATTCCATGAATGAATCAGAAAATTTTGTCCTTCCTTACCTATTATCTTTCCAATATCCCACGTTGTAATCAATGTGGATTTAAATATTGGCCACACGTATGAATGTATCCAATTTAATATTACAATTATTGGTCCTTGAATATAGGTATCCCATAATGGTGGTATCGCTACACAAATTTTTGGTATCATTTTAATACACCATATTGTAAGATGCCAGAACTTGATTAAACCCGTTTCAATTGAATCTAATGAATAAAATACAAATAATCTAAACAAGTCCCAGGTTAACCTTAAGAACAAGTATATCGCTGCAAAAGGAACAAATGGAATATAAAGTAATGGATTTTTTTGTTGTTGTTGTTGTCGTTCTGCAGAATCGGTTATAGCGTCTGAGGAAGAATTTTTTTTGACTTTTGTAAAGAGATTCTCTCGTAATTTTCTCCATTTCGGATATTCTTTTATAGCAATATAAAGGTATAAAATTGATAATAAGAATATTATTATGATCCAATACCAAGAAAAGGAATCTTGTACGGAGGACATAGGTTCTATTTGCGGTGATTCTTCAGTGTATTCGCTCGTTTTATCTATTTTCAAAAAGAAAAAAAAAGGAAATTAGGTCTATTTAGATTTGACGTAATTTTTCCGGATGTTTACCTACTTGTACTACTTATTTGGATGAAATGCGCAAAAAAAATCACGTGCAATTTGCGGAAAATCAACTCGATTTGCGCATTGCGCAATTATTTTTCAAATATGTTTTTTGCGCAAAATTTTGATAGAAAAAGATTAGATAGTAATTTGATTATCTTTTTTTGATCTATCTTTAAATACCGAGATTAATTAACTAAATTAACAATAATTGGGGGAAATTTGCGCAAATTTTTTAAAAATTGAGATTGTGCAATGCGCAGATTATGATCAAAATTTGCGAAAATCAAAAGTTGCGCTCGCAAATTCCTCATACACTGCGCGGCGGAAGCTTGTTATAAATTTAATAAGGTACAACCGAACCAATGAATTGCTGTATTTCTATTTAAATCCTCCCCATGTTTGATATAAAAACAAATAGAAATTAAAAAATTTCTTCGCTGATCCATAAAGAAATGGTAAATATAAATGATACATTATAATCCGTTATTGTTATATGCTTTTATGCATTTATTTTAGATTTCCTCGCGTCCGGAACAAAAGATAATTAAAAAAAATTCTTTAATTATATTACAATTATAACAATGAATCACTGCCGTAACAAAACCTTTCTGGTTTAGACCCTTATAAAATATATCATTATCGATCATGTGACAGACCGATCCAATACATATACTCGGATCGCCATGAATGTTTTGAATTTTGTTACCTCACTCGAGGGGAGGAAAAATAATGGCAGAAGTTAGAAAAAAATTACGTAAGAGAGTTCGAGTCCCTGAAACAATTCAGGAAATTCCAAAAAAGACTAATAAAATCAACAAGACTACCGACTCTGATGAACATACCGCCAAAAAAATAAAAGAAGAAGCCAAACCATATACGCGTGGAGTATCATTAACTCTCGATTTAACAGATATGATAAATAATCCACTTTACAGTGATATTATTATTACATGTAAAGATGGAGAAGAATTGAATGCTTGTAAATTACTTTTATCCGCCCGTTCGGAATATTTTAACAAATTATTCTCCTCAACTCAACAAAAAGCGAAAGAATCGTCATCTTTTCATATAACGAACAAAATTGATCTACCAGAATTACCTTCTTCAGCTGTCAAAGTTGTATTAGAATATCTTTATACTGGAAATGTGTCCGACGAAACATTAACAATTGACATCTTATCAGACGCGTATAATGGTGCTACAGTCTTCTCACTTTCGAATTTGAAAGAAATAATTGTTCAATTTATGAAAACATACATGAAACATCGTCATAACGTTGGTAGTAGTAATCAAATAGCAAAAATTCTATCAGAAGTCTCGGATAATTCTATTATCACATCTTCATCTGATGATAATCAACTTATCGATGAAATTTGTAGATTTTTAATGTCAAAATCTCTTTATAACATAGAATATCAAAATTTATCTTCAAAAGCTTTGGAATTTCTTCTTTATCACACTTTAAATATGAAGGAAGGGAATTTTGTTACTCCTGAATATGACGTATTTAAATATTGTATATTGTGGGCCGTAAATCAAATTTCAAAGGATGATGTTCTCAATTTTTGGTTACTTATACCAAATAATGAAGATTTTAAAGCACAGGAATCTTTGAGTAAAGAATGGAATCCGATTGATTCAAATAACGCCTTATTAAAACAACATAGGAGTGCAATTTCTTCGATATTGAAATCTATTCTAAAATATATTGATTTCCGTCTTATTCATCCTAATATATTAGCCAATGTGATTGAACCTTTGGAAATTGTTAAT